CAATAACATCTCGCAAAGGGCGACGAAGCCAGAAATATGCAGTATTGATCCAGGGGTAAGGTGATGGAGCTGGATCCCATAAAATTCTTGCAAACCTCGCAGGAAGGGATGGATGGGAAAGCCTAGACCTTGTAAAAGTAAAGGCATGAAACATACCCTCTCTCCCTTACTTAGAGTAGGGAAGTTCTCTGTGAAGGCTTGACCACCCACAGAAATCAATCCAGCACGGACAGGGACGAGATCTGTTGCGGGGAGACATCCTTGCGTTTGAAGATTGCTTAGTTGGAGGAGTGAAATTGGCTAGCTTCCTCAGTCACCTAGGAGAGGGCCATGGAGGCATGAGGATGAACCAGGGGCGATTTGACCTGTGGTTTCTTTGGGATGGTCTTAGTCGCTTGTGTAGGGATGGGTTAACCACCCGTCGCACTCCAGATCTATTAAATAGATCCGCCTCCTGGTCCTGAAAGGGCGTTTTTGTAAAAGAACGTTGGACCGTTTGCCTTCTAAAGGGCGCAAGCAAACCGAAGGGTGTCTTTAGATCCTGATAAAAACAATGATGGGGGGCCACCTATCACTTGACGGGCTAGGAGGACGGTAGCCGCACTACTAAAGCGGCCGAACAAGGAAAGGACGAGGAACTTGCCCCGCAAGTCGAAGACTTTGGGACAAGCAGTACAACTGATGATTATCATCTCCGACATTGGAGGCCAGTTCAGGGGCTACTGAGGAAGTCCTGGACTAGGAGGTCCTCGGGCTACCGACCTGACTTTCATGGGTCGGACAGGAGGGCCGCACTATTAACAATTAGAAGACCAAACTATGAAGAGACTTTGTATAAGGATGAGAAGATTCTTGATGCCTTGGTTTGTCCTCCAAGTCAAGAAGAATCGGCATGTTTATTCTTTCCTTGTAATCGACCATGTGTAACCCTAGTATCCCTGGTGTCTATACAAACCAGGGGGTTTAGTCCGTAGCCAAGTTCCATCATCCTACTAGCCTAGGGTTAGTTCATCTGATCTCGTGGTAGATCGACTCTGTAATCCTCATATACACGAGCAATATAATCAAGCATGTTACCTCTTAGAGAGGGCTCGAACCTGGGTAAACATCGTGTCCCTAGTTGCCTGTTCCCTATTGATCCAAGATCCACAACTCGGGACCCCCTACCGGAGATCCGCCGGTTTTGACACCGATAGATGTGACGAGGACTCAAGCCAAGCTCCCACTGCTGGAGGCCCACAACTCGAAATGTTTGTACTCGAGATGCTGAGGATGTTTGTGCTGGAATACAGTAGATGAACAAGTTGAGATCGACACTACTGGAATATTTATTATGTACGTCCATGTTTGACCCGGGTACAACACGACGTAAGAGTTGTGTTTGTTTTGCATGATCGGCTGTGCAGGCTGTTAACCCACATGATCAGATTGGAATTGATCTCATATATACAACCATGATGGCACATGATTCGCACACGTGCGCTAGGGACTAATATATTTTAGACTCGTTAAACTGACATGTCTGATCGTGGTTGGTGACATGACTCAAGAGTCGCACATATTTTTTCCAAAGCACGAGTGTAATATTTATAACACCTGTGAGTGGATCGAGTCTATTAATAGGTCTCTACTTTCTAGCCTCATTATGCATTGTGAGCGGCACCACGAATAAGACAGAAGAACAGAGGGTAGACCGCATAGCCCACTATTCCTAACACAAATATCGATGGTCTTAGGTGGGGATGCTCCCCCCTCCCGGTCCATTTTCTAAAAAAAGTCTGAACAACTCTAAGAGCCTACGGAATTTTACATAAAAATGCAAGAACGGGAAAACAATTTCATGTTTGAAACAGGCCCTGCATAGTTTTTGGCCCAAGGAATGGAGGGCCGGGAATATAATATATCTATGTTGAAAAAGTAGTGTGAGTGTGGAAGAATTGGGAATTCTTCTTTTCTAAACCAGTGGAGTCGGAATCTTTAAAGGCGCGCGCACACACCCCACACGCCACCCCATCTTCATTCCTTTAGGTCTCTTTACTTGATGCCCGCTGCGCCTAATATTCTCTGATTCTTTGATGGAGGCAAATTCGAATTTGCACCGCAGGTGCGCTACCAATGGAAAGATAACGTCTTGAACCTCAAGCACAAGTGGGCGTGCTGCAGATGTGAGCATCTGGAATTTGATTGGATTCTCATTTTTGTCAATGAATAGGAAGGTGACCTTCGTTTATAACTTTTGACAATAAATCCCCAAAGAAAAATGCATTGTTTGATAAATAAAACCAACATCTAGATCAGTGGTGCATTGTTGACTGGAGGTACGTTAGTAGTAGCAGTGTGCAAGAAAACTTGAGTTTTAAAAAGCAAAAAAGAACAGAATTGAACAGCATTATTCTTTGCCGCCAGACAGCAGCCTTGGATCACGTACACGACAGGTGCGCAAAACCTTCCGAGCATCTATTCTTTGCCCCACGCACAGTGATGGAATATAAGTGAATTGTCCATATTTTTCTACTTGCTTAAGTTTTTGGGTTGAAGATATATAGGTACATACTACACGGAAATCCCTTTTGGAGCTCGGGCTCCAGTGAGGCCTCCAAATTCAAATTTGAAATTTCATTAAAATTCATATTTTTACATTTCAAAAAATTCTGAAAAAATTACAGATATACATGAAGGCATATAATACACACCTGTGTAAATTTTCAGATCAAAATTCATTGAAATGAGGGCTGTGCAAAAAACACAAATCTGGGGCTGTTTAACACATGATACTATTCATCCTCCCAGGCCATGGATTTGTCTTTTTTGTACAGGTCGCAACTCAAGGTATTTCATCATGTATTTTTGCACACATGTGAGTTACATCCTTACATACACGCATTTTTTCACAATTTTTTGAACCATAAAAGTTTGAATTTGAATTTTTCAAAAATAAAGGCCTCCATGGAGCTCGGCCTCCAAAACGCCTTTCTCCAAAAGGTCTCCCTCCGTCTGAAAATACTTGTCATCAAAATGGACAAAAATGGATGTATCTAGAAGTCATTTTGATGACAAGTATTTTCGGACGGAGGGAGTACAACTTAATATAAAGGGATGTCGAGGGCGTACACGAGACCCACGAGACTAAGCTTTGTGAGCACATATTCTTTGCCGCATCCAGACGGCTGATCCACCCGTGGCCTTAGCTCACCGGCCCACTATATAATGCCATCACCTTGCACCGTCTTACTCCTTCCTCACGAGCTCACCCCACCTAGTCCAGCATGAACAGCTACTATTACTACTTGGAGGACTCGCGGCAGTGGTTCTGGTGGAGCGGCGGCTGGCGCACAACTAACGATGGTATGCATGCCGCGGTGCTCCCTGCTCCATCTTTTTGTTCTTTCTTTCTTCCTCTTTCTATTCGAGCGCGCTAACAGACACGATGTGCGCACACAGATCTCAGATTTTCGGTTCTGGACCCCTGTTTGTTCTCTTCATGCTGATTTATCCAATAAAGAAACTTTCTTACTTTCCTGTAATTTTAACTATTCCCGCTTCCTTGATTTTGTTTAATTCTGTAGGCAGACGTTATCCTGCAGTTAATATAGTAATATTAACTGAGGTCTCCTTCGAATATGTATTCGGCAGAAAACCATTAACCGAACCCCCTCAGGATAGCTCTCCCGGAATTGTGATCTCGATCAAAGATATGGATGATTGGCAATTGCGCTGGGACAATTCTGCTCGATACAACAAGCTGGTAAGTACGTACCTAACCTTGCAGCGCAGCTAGCTTTTCGATCTCTCAAATTCCTTTTTTCTTTTCTTTTCTTTTCTGGAGACTCGACCTTTAGCTAGTACTCCAACTCTAATGTTTGAAATGATCTAGTTGGTGTATTCGTTCTACGACAAGAATTCCACACTGTCCAAGGCCATGGACAAGCTGTTGGAGAAACTCGCCAAGCAGTATAAAGGCAAGGCAGACTTCTGCAAGTTGGACGTCGACAACTTCGAGGTACAGACACAACCAGATGATTTCCATGCATGTATCATTATTTGGAAGCGGACGCGCGTGCTTATTGCAATCAATTATCAACCGTACGTGCAGTTTTTGGCGGGGCTTTGCGGAGTGGAGGGAGCGTATCCGACGTTCGTGCTATTCAAGAAGTGCAAGCAGGTGGGCAAGGTCGTCGGCCTCAAGGACGACGAACTCGAGCGGAGCATCGAGCGAGCGCTAAACTAGTACTCAATGTTTTTCGTGTGAAGGCTTATAATATGGCCTTCATGCTACAGAACTACTATATGTAGCTGGAATAAGCATGGTACGAAACTTGTCGAGAGATGTTGAGTATCAGATGTACTAGTCCATGGACCTATATGCTCCGGCATGATATGAGCTACTCCCCTCTGTAAACAAATATAAAAGCGTTTAGTTTAGTGAACTAAACGCTCTCTTATATTAATTTACGGAGGGAGTAGAATTTTAGGAGACGTAAATATTAAAAATTCATAGTATTTATAACTAATCAAAAATATTTATCTGTTGGCGCAAATTTAGGGCCAACACACGAGAGCACTAGAGCGTGCGGGTCGCGAACAGACCGAACGGTAGTACTGCTACACAGACCAGTCAGGCTGGTACAGCAACTCAGTTAGACCGGTTTCCTAGGGTTTAGCCCAAATCGATCGTTCAAGACGATAACTACCATGCTTACATGATGGAGGACGGCTAGGTTTACGAGCAAACCAGCAAAAAGATAACCACATGGAGAAGACCGACTAGTTTACGAGCAAACTAGCAAAGGCCGTCGTTGGGACCTGTCTGGGCGTGGACGTTGTCGGCGTGCCCTAGATCGACCAGCGAGACTTGGGACGCCATCTCTGGTCCTGTAGATCAGTAGAAAAACAACATAAAGGTTGGAAGAGAGATTTAGGGTTTAAAGATAAAAAGTAAATGTTTTGATTCGATTGGGTTGCCCACAACTGGCCGTGGCCCTTTATATTCACTAGCAAATATATCTGTGCGTTGCAACCGGAGAAAAAATAGCTTTGTGTTGTCCTACTAAAAAACACAACGTGTCAAACAAGAGAATCGGGACATAATAGAACTTTCCAGAACTCTTGAGCACCAACGTTAACCGGTTTGTCCAAATTTGAATAATCATTGAAGACACATAGAATTGATTGAAGAATGAAATGATACAAAGTTCATTACCATTCAATAAAATGGCACATTTCTTTTGACTGCAAGTTTATTAATTAACATTATAAAATTGAGATGAATTTATATTTTCAGAATTCTAAGGCATGAATGTCCACACGACCGAGGGTGTTACATTCGAAAAAATAACGAATTTAATTTTTTTATAGAATTATTTTTCATGTTGTTCATTGACTTAGAAATAGAAATTACTAAATTATCGAGAAATAGCTCATTGATATTACATTGTTCAATTTTGAAATAATCTAGAAAAAAGGTCCGCGTAGATCATTATCAAAGTTAGAGAAATTTGCAAATTCCAAAGCTGAAGAAATTATTACAAAAATTTTATTTGTGATATTTTTGTTCTGAGCATATCTAATGAATTGAGGAAAACATTATCCTAAAGTTGGTCAAATAAATACACAAACTTTGATGTTTTCATCCTATTTTTTGCCCACATTGTAAACATCTACAAGACTTCACATCATTCCATGAGAAGTTGATAGAATAACTAAGAAAACCATGTACTCGTACAAACCCTGAGATGTTAAATTTTAGCACAATAAAATTCTAATCATCCATATGGTTACTAAGAACAAAAATTGCTTTTTTCACATAACTTGGCATCCATAATTTTTCTGCTGGTCTATCTCAATACTAATTTATTTATTGTCAAAATTAAACCCATCTATATATGGCATGTAAGCATCCAAATTAACCCTATCTATTTATATCCACCTCTAAAGAAAACAATTACGTGTTTGTTTAGAAAAACTGGGTGTGGACATGTTTGTATGCCTTTTTATTTTTTTACTTTACCTTTTGATATGTATATGGTGTGCAACATCTTCTCCTTTATTAATCCCATTTTAATTAGGTGTCAATTAGTGGACATGACAGCCCGGAATTCCATTTAATGGAGGCATGCATGTCCCTCCTTTATTTTTGGCATTTGAATTTTTGTTTTCCAGAATCCCGGTTAATCAAAGCCCATGATAATTATTAGGGAATCAATTAGCACCATGACAGCCCACAATTCCATTGAATGGAGGCTCCTTTATTTCCGGCAATTGAAATCCAGTTTTATTATTAGAGCCAACCTTCTTTTATTGGGGCGCTCATGTCATCAATTATCGGGTCTTTCCCTTTTTGTTGACATGTGCAGTCAAGGGCACAGACCGTAGAACATAGCAGGCCCAGTGGCCCATGCAAGGGGTAAACAAAAAAATACAAACAATGCACAGCCCACGCATAGAAAATAGGTATTGCGGGTTGATTTTTAAAATAATGAGGTATTTTTTGCAAAATGTCATGACGGACCAAGAATACATATTTGCTTTATCCTAAACTCTAAAAAGCGGCCGGCCACCAACTAACGGAAACGGGCGGCCGGGCTCACATGTGTGATTTTTTTGTCAGCTAGTGGATATTATTGTTAGCATTAGATGCGTACAGACTAGTCTGGCAACAGATTCACGCACATTTATTTTAGCGTCTTAAATTTTTAAAAAGTCATATCTTTTAAACCACATGTCGGAATTCAGATCCGTTTTCACCGTTGGATTCATCGCGGCGATATCTTCGAAACTAGATACCGCATGGATATGTTTCGATAAAAAAAATTTGATGCCAATTTTGGTGCTATATGGTGCAATTAAAATACTGCATTGTGCAACTTTAGTACTACATCGTGCAATTTTTTTCCAAAACTAATGTTTGGAGCTGCGCCTTCGTATGAGGTTACAACCTAGCAACCACGACAACTTTGATGTGCGACTAGTCTATTGCCTCGACGAAAGTCGATGTGCAACCTTCTCTTGTAATGTAGTCTAGTCGCACACACATTTGATATTTAGTTGGCTTGTAATGTAGTCTAGTTGCACATACATTGATATTTAGTTGGCTTGTAATATAGTCTAGTTGCACACACATTGATGTTTAGTTGACAGGAAGACTAATTGCACACGCATATGCTTAGTTGGCTTGTAATTTAGTCTAGTTGCACACACACTGATGTTTAGTTGGCAGGACACTAGTTGCACACACATATGCTCAGTTGGCGTGGCAATTTAGTCTAGTTTGCACACACATTGATGTTTAGTTGGCAGGACTTTTTTGGCACACACACATATGCTCAGTTGGCGCGGCAATCTAGTCTAGTTGCACACACATTGATGTTTAGTTGGCAGGGCTTTTTTGGCACACACACATATGCTCAGTTGGCGCGGCAATCTAGTCTAGTTGCACACACATTGATGTTTAGTTGGCAGGAAGACTAGTTCGTCGAAACATCTCCATGCGGGATATAGTTTTGAAGAGCACGTCGCGAGGATTCCAGCGGTGAAAACGGATCTTAATTCCGACGCACGGTTTGGAAGATATAGCTTTTTGAAAATTTGAAAACCGAAACAATTGCATATGTGATCTGTTTTTTCCAACTGACTGTGACCGGTGTGAATGTATTAAATGATAAAAGATACATGCGCTAGCGGACAAAAATTACATACATGCATGTCTATTTTAGGCCAGCCGCTCGCGCATGTATGGCTGGCCGCTCCATCGCGCTAGAAGGTTCCTCCGTCCGGAAATACTTGTCATCAAAATGAACAAAAGAGAATGTATCTAGATGTATATTAATTCTAGATACATCTTTTTTTATCCATTTTGATAACAAGAATTTTCGGACGAAGGGAGTACAAATCCAGTGTCAAAAACACAACTCCTAACTCGGATTGGGCTGGTCAAACTGGTCAGACCGTCCCAACCGGTCTAACCGGTTAGCCATAACTCTCTCGTCCAGAGTCCACATTGGATGTTTTACATATGCATGTCGATTGTATCGACGAGATCTACGCAATGGTGAAGTCCAATTTGTATTTTGAGTACATTGATCAGACCGGACTAGTCGGTTTGGTGACCGTCTGCATTGCCGGATCGGCTACAGGACCGACTACCGGTCGGACCGCCGACAGGCCGGCCAGACCGGTTGGCCTCGCCATATCAGTTAGATTTGCCAATTTTGACTGTCAATGCATTGCCCCCTGTTTCTTGGTAAAGCCTGCATAACAAGAAACATTTATCAGAACCAAAATTGCACAGGAGCAATGTCGAGCACAAGCACATCAAACATGTTTCACTTTTTAAGGACGATAGTATCTATTGGCCATATTACTTGATTCTGCCCGATTTGAAGAATTCAGCTTGTTGCTACTGTTCATACTTCTTGTGTGAGTGATAGAAGCCTTAGTACGTACTACCTCGGCTATGGATTCTTGAAATACTAACTAAAAGTTGTTCTCACACATGTAAGCTATTGTGGATGCATAAAACGACCAAATTGCAAATAATGTCAATTGGTAATTGCAATACTTCTCAAATTGTGAATAAAGAAAGATAGATCAATTCGATATTGCATCCACAAGTTATTTTGACCATAAATAAAGTAAGGTGAGTAATCAACCCAAAAGTTATTTAGTCTTACAAAGTACCTGCATCGTACCAAACAAACCAATTTGTACAAGACAGAGATGCAGCTCACACCTAATTAGCATGAAGTGTGTATTTGGATTGTCACCCTCCTGTTGTATTACAGTGGACATGGAGATTTTGAGCACTTCAACAAGCAAAAATAGGAGAGCTAATTAAAGTCATGAATAGCTAACAGTACATAAATAACATACCATTTCCCAACTACATACGAAGGTTAACACTGAAGAAATCTATGTTTCAAGAACAAATTTTAGAATATATACTAATATGCTGAGATCACTACAGATTTACAGGTATCTTGGGTTTAGTAGCTTATCAACTACACATAGCATATTAATCAGCTTGCAAGAATTTTGCCGCCAAGTTTTCTTTTGTACTAAACATAGGAGTAAATTGACTTTGCTTTACCAAGGGAGGAAATAGACAAAGAAAAGCAGACAACATAGGTGGAACCAAACGAAATTGCAATGGAGATTTTAAAAATAAGCAGAGGATCAAAGCATAGCTAGCATCAGATTGGAATCAAGAAGATGTCTCATTACCTAAGCAGA